ATCTGTTGTATCTTTTTTTATTTTTTTTAATACTTTTATTTATTTTAGAGTAGGAAGGTGGAGGTGAGAAACAGAGAAACATCAGTTTGCAAGAAACAGGATCAGTAGCCTCCTGCACAACACCTGGTGGGGTCCAGCCTTCAACCCACCCATCTGACCTAACCAGGACTATTACCTGGAACCTCTCAGTGCATGTAGATGCTCAACCAACTGAGCCACATCATTCAGGGCAGTAGATCACTTTAATATAGGGAATCATGGTCAGGATGATAATGGTAGTAGTTGCTCAGATCGGGCAGTGTGAGCCTGAGGTCTGGCTTTCCTGCTGGGGCCCCTGTTTGTAGGAGGTGGGTGTCACAACACAGCAAAGGGACAGAAGGTCATGTAGAGTGTTGGAGAGAGATATTGGTTTCCCAGTGGCCAAGACTTTTAAAAGATGAGTGGACATGAGATGAATTGGAGGCTGAAGAGTAATTCAAACAAGATGAAACTAGGGTTGGTACATATTTACTTATCTAAACACTCACTAGGATATTATTGTGGCCCTTTGTGTGGCCTGGGGTGTTGCAGTCAGTCTTGTGGATTAGCTTAGAGGCATGAGTGGTTATCTGTGAGACTCATTAAGCATGGTGCAAGGGCCATCGGCGCTGGGATTTGAGTGACAGTTAAGTGGAGAGATGGTGGCTGTGACTGGTGAAGGGACATCAAGTGTAGCACCAGGGGAGATGGGCTCTGGATATTTGAGATATGATTGTGGTTATCAATAGATGAGGTTGAAGGAGTAAACAGTCATGGAGAGAGGCCTTCATAGCAGGACAGCCTTGAGTCCTGATGACTGTGGACTATCAGAGTCTAGGAAGTACTTGATTCTGCTTGAAATTTGGCAAGCATTCTCTGGACCACATATGCTGAGTAATAGTAAGAGGCCAAGGAGATGACTATGCGGGCTGGGGCTTTGGGAGTGCAGGTGTGAGAGAGGTGTAGTAGAGAGTTATGTGCACTTGGAGAGGGAGTGTGAATTCATGGCCATTGGGTCCTGCCATTGACATAAGAGCAAATGAAAGGTGAGTCCATTTCTGGTCGTGTCTGGATCATACAGTAAGGTGACTTTTAGGGTAATTGCCTGAAAAGAGAGGTGTTGTGGTGCTACATGCCAGGTCCAGAGCTTAGATGCCTTTTTCTACCCAATGCCTTTTTTTGTTGAGGGATGACCCACTGATCAATAGGAACGAGATAGCATAAATTAGTGTTACCCAGGTTTGAAAATCTCCACTGGCATGGTAAAGGAGAAGATAAGAGAAAAATAGATTATGGAGGTGGTGAACTATAATTTTGGAAAAGAAGGTGATTAGGAAACAACTTGTCCTCACCATGGCAAATCTGTGTTACCTTTGAAGCTGTGTGAGAGAAGTGTTGTAAAAAGGTCCATTTTTTTTGGTGACCGGATGATATGCTTTGGGAAATTTAGGTTAATTCCTGAAAAGAGGGTGTGTTGTGGTGCTACATGCCAGGTCCAGAGCTTAGGTGTCAGAGTTGTGTACACCTGCCTGTTGTTGAGGGCGGATACAGTGATCAGTAGGAATACAATAGTGTGCATTAGTGTGACTTGGTCTTGAAAATTTCCACTGGCCTGGGGAAGAAAGAGGGTAAGAGAGAAATATATTACAGAGGCAGTGAATTAGAATTTTGGAAAAGAAGCTGATTATTATGCTCATCACAGCATATTTATGTTATCTTTGAATGAAGCTGTGTGGGAGACATGTGCTTCAAAGAATTATGTTCAGCAGGAGTGCAAAGTGATGGCCTCCGCACCTTGGGATAATAGTCAGAAGGACAAGGTGTGATGCCGTGTTTTTCACGGTCTGAGAGGGAGAATCTGGGAGACCAGAAGGTTAGTGCCTGACAAGGTCAGTGTCAAATAACTCACACTCTTGGGAGAACCAAGATGGCGGCGTAAGGTACAGACCTGTGCGTGCTGCCTCCCACAACAGCATCAAGACTACCAACTATAAAATAAACAGTTATCATTCAGAACCATGGGAAAGCTGGCCCAGTGAAAGCTCTACAACTGGAAGGAAAGAAAGAGCATTGAGACTGAGTAGGTTGTGCAGAGGCTCCAAGAACGGAGGTACGGAGTCGCGCGCCAGGCGGACTGCAACTGGATGCACAGTTTTTTTCAATCGGAAGGGGTTGCAGACTCTCGAGTCCACTGAGCTGGTTTGGGGTGGAATTCTGAGGTCCCAGACCCCTATGGGGAGAGAAGGGATGGCCTTGCAATGGGCCGGAGAGCGAGAGTGGCTGTCTCACGGAGCTGCTCGCCAGCACTCGGGGACGCGAGTCGCTGAGTTGCGGAGAGGCGAGGAGGCATGGAGATGCCATTGCCCTTGGCCCCGCCCTGGTGATTCGCCAAGAACAGAGGTGCGGAGTCGCGCGCCAGGCTGGCTGCAACTGGATGCGCGGTTTTTTTCAATCAGAAGGGGATGCAGACTCTCAAACCCACTGAGCTTGTTTGGGGAGGGATCCTGAGGTTCCAGACCCCTACGGGGAGAGGCGGGATGGCTTTGCAATGGGCCGGAGAGCGAGAGTGGCTGTCTCACGGAGCTGCTCGCCGGCACTCAGGGACACGAGACGTGGAGTCGCGGAGAGGCGAGGAGTCACGGAGACGCCATTGCCCCTTGCTCCACCCTGGTGATTCCCGGGGATCCCGCCCTACTCAATTTACATTCCCACCCAAGCTGTGCTAGTGGCACAAAGAGAACCACCGGCGCTTTTGCAGCCCAGCCTAGCAGAATGCAGATTTCAACTCCTCACATACATAAGGGTCACACTCAAGAAGCAGAATCAGGTTTGGAGGAAGCTGGAGCCGGACCCGGCTGGGCCAGCAACGTGGAACCGCTGTACCAGCAAACGCACAGGCAGGTCCACCAGATCCAGTCTCACATGGGACGCTGGGAGACGACAGACAGACAGTCTGTGCACTTGGTAGAAAACAAAATCCAAGCTAGCATACCAGATATCCAGCCACCAGGAACGCCTGGAGATTTTGTCCAGCAGGGAGCCGCCCAACAAAGGACAGGGTACGAGACTTCGTGTTGCTGGGACAGCCCCCGTGGGGCTGAGACGGCCCCTGTGAGGCTGAGACAGCCCTGGTGGGGGTGGGACGGCCCCGTTGGGGTTGAGACGGTCCTAGTGAGGTTGAAACAGCCCCGGTGAGGTTGAAACGGGCCCAGTGAGGCTGAAACGGCCCCTGTGAGGTTGAGACGGCCCCTGTGAGGTTGGGACGGCCCTGGTGAGGCTGGGACGGCCCCGGTGAGGCTGAGACGGCTCCGGTGAGGTCGAGATGGCACCAGTGAGGTCGAGATGGCCCAGGTGGGATCAAGACGGCCCCAGTGAGGTTGAAACGGCCCTAGTGAGGCTGAAACGGCCCCGGTGAGGCTGAAATGGCCCCGGTGAGGTCAAAACGGCCCATGTGAGGTTGAGACGGCCCCTGTGAGGCTGGGACGACCCCGGTGAGGCTGGGACGGCCCTGGTGAGGCTGGGATAGCCCCAGTGAGGTTGAATCGGCCCCGGTGAGGTCGAGACAGCCCCGGTGAAGTTGAGACGGCCCCGGTGAGGTTGAGATGGCCACGGTGAGCTTGCAACGGCCCCTGTGAGGCTGAGACATCCCCTGTGTGGAGAGCCCTGAGCAATAGACTCACCAAACATCCCTAACATCCATTGCCTCGGAAAGTGTAGGGAGTGTGTGGAAGTTTTAAGTCTTGCATACAGCTTAATGGGACCCACATTAACTTCCGCTTCCTAGGAAGGTGACTGTGTCCAAATCCATGACTTCGACTTCTGTGCCCTTTCTCCAGTTAAGCTTCTTTATGAAAGTCTGTGCCATGTTATGGGATTTACTTACATGAACCATGTGCAGTTCTTGTAGGCCCCTCCTTTCATTGTTTGTAATATTCTCTTCCCTGAATACTATTGCATGCTGAGTTGCTCTGGGCCAGTGCTGGCTACTTACCTCTGCTGTCCTTCACTTATACTTGAAATATTTAGGTTTTTGCGTACTTGTACAGAGAAGGTTCAGGGAGAACCATTGTGTATTTCACAAGGTGAACATGCAGGATGATCTTAGAGGAGGCTTGGCCCTGTTGAGTTGCAACTGGGAGAAGCATGACTTAAGTGCGGTGTTTAGATCATACTGAGAACCTGCACATTTCCAACAGTGTTTAGGTGCAAGTGCCTTTCTACTTTTGCTTTTCCATACTGGACACTTTGCTGAATAATTATTTTATCTGTGACTTCCTGGCTTTTGGCTATCTTCACCCTTGTGGCCTTCTTGCATCATCTGTCCCCCTGCAAGGTTTTCTCTGCAGTGTTCTCCAACACAGACCTGCTGATGTGTTATGAGGTGCACATGCATGCTTAAGTAGACCTCGAATACCAGCTATTCATTTATTGAATTTTACTTGGACTAAGATGTAACCAATTTTCTGCACAGCTTACCCAAGTCACAAGCAGACAAGCCCTGCTGAATGCTGTTAGCAGAATAATGAGCAGATGATCCCTCTGCTGTTCTATGTGGTGCTTGTCATGCTTGTATCATATTTTGTTTGAGGTCACCCTTGTTTTTGACCTTCAGTAGCCAGAACTTCATAGCAACATCTTTTAAATCCTTCCTGCAGATATTTTATTTTCAGCCAGTTGCATGAAACCAAGGTACTATGTGGAACACACTTTTGCAATGGGACTTCCTCTTGTCACCAGTCAACATTCATTTCGTCACCATTTTTCTGTTTTCAGGTTTTTGGCGTAAAACAGAAGATGAGTCCTGTCGTGACCACAGTATATCTATACAAGGAGTGTCACAGGTCAGGGCTTCTAAGACAGCACCAGCAACCCAGAGGACCCATCTCTGTAAGCAGTGTGTCTCAGTGTTAAAAGATATTCTGCACCTGACAGAGTCACAAGCAACATACTTTGAGCAGAAAGCCTCTTGTAGTGACACATGCGGGAGAGATTTCTGTTTCAGTGCAAACCCTCACCAGCAACAGCGGGATTCTAGTGGAGAGAAGCCCTGGCAAGAAGCTATGAACAGGGCCTCGTTTATGACCAGATTAAACTTCTACTTATCAGGGCTGCCTTCAACCAATAGAGAGGTTGGGTTTGACTTCCAAGCTCTCTCAAGGTTTCTCCAGCACCAGACCCCTCTTAACACTGAGGAGCCACGCAGTGGAACTGAGATTTCACAGACATTTCTCAAGGGAAAAAGTCATCATGAATGGAGTGAACATGAAAAAGCTGCCAGCCACAAGCAGAAAGTTGTTCAGTGTTACAGTGTGTGCTCTGGAGAAGTGAAATATGAGGGTAACAAATGTGGGAAAGTTTTTAGATGTACTGTTAACCTCAATAGACATTGGAGAGTTCACACTAGAGAAAAGTCTTATGAGTGTATTGATTGTGGGAAGCCCTTCCATCAAAAGTCTTCTCTCACTAAACAAGACAAAGTTCACACTAGACAAAAATCTGTCGAGTGTAGTGAATGTGGGAAATTGTTTAGGTGCAATAGTCTCCTCCTTAAACACAAGAGAGTTCACACTGGAGAAAAGCCGTATCAATGTAGGGATTGTGGGAAGTCCTTCAGTCAAACCTCTCACCTCATTCAACACAAGAGAGTTCACACTGGAGAAAAGCCATATGAGTGTACTGATTGTGGGAAGTCCTTCAGCCATAGGTCTACCCTCACTGAACACCAGACAGTTCACACTGGTGAAAAACCTTATGAGTGTAGTGAATGTGGGAAGTCTTTTAGGTCCAATAGTCATTTTCGTTACCACAAGAGAGTTCACACAGGAGAAAAGCCATATGAGTGTAATGATTGTGGGAAGTCATTCAGACAAAACTCTGCTCTTACAGAGCATCAGAGAGTTCACACTGGAGAAAAGCCATATGAGTGTAGTGATTGTGGGAAGTACTTCAGTAATAGCTCTAACCTCCTTAAACACCATAGAGTTCACACTGGAGATAGGCCTCATGAGTGTATTGAATGTGGGAAATCTTTTTGCTACAAATCTGCCCTCGTTCGACACCTGAGAGTTCACACTGGAGAAAAGTTTTAAATGTGAAGGCAACGTTTTATCTTTCTCACTCAGAATAAAAACACAAAAGGAGAATCTTTTAGACCCATTTAACTCAATATAAATCACTTTTATTAGACCATAGATTCTGCTAGATTCCTCATAAGTTTCATGTACAAGTGAGGCTTTAAAGAGCTTCATTGCATTTGCTAATCTGCTCAGGCCTACAACCTGATTTATTCATAGTAATGTTTATCGCTAGCTACAGATTTCCCCCATCTTTCAGGTAATTTGTAGATACCATCCCAAAAGAATGGTTCTTGTTTTGAGGCAAACCATTCAGAGATCCAATTTTTCACTTCTTTGTACATTTTGAAGTGCTGCTCAGAAAGTGCATGTGCCATCTATTGGAACAAATGGTAATCTGAAGGAGCAAGGGCTGGTGAATACGGCGGGTGGGTTAATACTTCTCAGGCAAGATCTTTCAATGTGTCTTTAACTGGTTTTGAAGTGTGATAGTGCATTATCATGAAGCAAAATTACTTTGCCGCATCTTCTGCCACATTCTGGTCGTTTCATGATCAAAGCGTGGTTGGTAGCGTTCAGTATTAACGGTTTCACCTGGTCTTAGAAGCTCATAATACACCACACCTTCCTGACTCCACCAAACGCAGAGCATTGTCTTCTTTCCGAAGCGATTTGGCCTAGCAGTCGATGTTGATGATTGACCTGGATCAACCCATGATTTTGTGTGTTTGGGATTCTCAAAATAAATCCACTTTTCATCACCAGTCACAATTCGATGCGAAAAAGACTTTCTTTCGTGCCATTGAAGCAACATTTTGCTGATAATTTTTCGGTTTTCCATTTGTCTTTCGTTCAGTTGATGTGGCACCCATTTTCCTTCCTTTAAAATCTTTCCCATTGCTTGTAAATGATCGGAAATTGTTTGCTGAGCAAAGTTTAATGTTTTTGCAAGTTGTTTTTGAGTTTGACACACATCTTCATCCAATAATGCTTGTAATTGTTGATCTTCAACATTTTTCGGTTGACCTAGCTGTTCTTTGTCTAGTCAACAGAGCCAAATATCAACAGTACGATTGAAATTTCTTTTGAGAGCCAAATTTTTTAAATTTAAACTATATAGGTAGGTACATTGTTATTAACTTAATTAGGGTACTCCTAAGGCTTAGGAAGAGCCACACTCAAGGGGCCAAAGAGTCACATGTGGCTCTCGAGCCGCAGTTTGCCAACCACGGGTCTAGGTCAGTGATGGCGAACCTATGACACGCGTGTCAGAGGTGACACGTGAACTCATTTTTTTGGTTGATTTTTGTTAAATGGCATTTAAATATATAAAATAAATATCAAAAATATAAATCTTTGTTTTACTATGGTTACAAATATCAAAAAATTTCTATATGTGACATGGCACCAGAGTTAAGTTAGGGTTTTTCAAAATGCTGACACGCTGAGCTCAAAAGGTTTGCCATCACTGGTCTAGGTCATCGAAATCATCACTTTTAAAGCATTTAAACCAGCGTTCACAAGTACCTTGAGATGGAGCATGTTTACCATAGCTTCCAGAAGTATGTGATAACTTTCAGCAGAACTATTCTTCAAAATAAAGTAATGAATTAAAACTTCCCGCAAGTGCTCTTTTTTTGACACGAAATTTGACATTTTAAGCATAAAAATATATATGATGTTAACACCTTCAGAAAATTTGACATATGAAGTTTTGAAGCTTGTTGTCAATACAACAAAATAGCATACATATCAAATCGCATATACTAGTATATCAACATATGTGTAACTCCACCTATTGAAAAATATCTGCATTATTAACTGGTACACCTGGTAAATGCAAGTATTTGTGTGGAAGCTGTTTCCCATCTTACACCTGCCTCACCTGAAGAGTATGTATCAATCACAACCTCTGCATGCTCAGGGGTTTTGCTTGAAAAAATTATGAATACTTTGAGCTCCTGGCGGATCTTCATTCCTTTCTCTCTAATTAGAGAAACTGACCTGACCCAGGTTTCATCCAGAGCACTTGTCCTTAGCTAAGAAGTGTTACCTCTGTCAGGGACATTGTGGTTCTCACATTATGCTCTGATGAATTGTTTCAGGTTCCAATTCACCAACCTGCAAACTTGCTGTCCTTTGCTCTCATTCATGATCTTTTTATAAAGGTGATTTTCTTTTATACCTTTAATTTTGTTGGTTCTATTTAGTCCCTATGATGAAAGGAAAGTTGTGATCTGTCAGCATGCAGAAGTAAACAGTTATGTTGGGATCCCAAACTTTCTGTGCTTTGGAAGGTACAACATGATGGTAGAAAACCACTCTTTGTCCAATATTGGCTTATTTTGTATTGCTGATCAAGGCCTTGAAAGAAAGACTGCATGACTCTGTGGTTCTAATTTGCATTCTGTTGCCTCTTTTATTGGTGAAGTCAATGGTCTTTGTGAAGAGGAGGCCTTTGCTATTTTTCTGTGAACAATATGAATTATACTCTTTGCTCACAGTATTTTACATAATTCTCAGCAATGGTTAGGGGAAATTCCCCGCATATACTTTAAAGGAGCCATGGGCCATGATGTCTGAGGTTTCATTGGCTGGTGTCATTTGTTTGTAGAACTCTGATGTTTAGATGGAATCACAGGACAGAAACACTGTATTCATAGTGAGTGGGATAGACTGCAGTAAATTAGATGAAAAGTGCCTCTTCTGAATGTTATCCACAAATGATCCAGGACCTGTGGCTTGTGTGATCTTTGTGTACAAACACTCTCAGGACCTCCATAACTGTTTCCTGGGACTGAAGTCATTGGCAAAAAAAAATAATCTAATGGGTTTTTTTATTCCCCTGGCTGCTCTAGGTTCACCTCAAGGTTTGCTCAACAGGCAAGACAGCAAACCTAGAGGAAGGATAATCCTGTAATCAGTCTCAGGATGTGTCTTTTGTAACCAGTGAGAATTGCTGTTGATTCTGATGGTAATAGTCTTCACTGCTTGCCAGTATTTGCTGACACTGAGGCAAGGCTATTCCTCCCAGCAAATGAGAATTGACATACAAGGAAGTGTACTTTTCGCCCTGGCGGGTTTGGCTCAGTGGATGGAGCATCGACCTGCGGACTAACGGGTCCCAGGTTCGATTCTGGTCAAGGGCATGTACCTTGGTTGCAGGCACATCCCCAGTAGGGGGTGTGCAGGAGGCAGCTTATCGATGTTTCTCTCTCATTGATGTTTCTGACTCTCTATCCCTCTCCCTTCCTCTCTGTAAAAAATCAATAAAATATATTTAAAAAAAGAAAGTGTACTTTTCTAATGTGTACTATTTGGTGAGCCTTGACATGAGGATAAAACTAAGAAATTGTCATCATGTGAAATACGCTTATCTGTCACCGATATAGAATGGGACAAAAGTTGACTTACAGTTATGAGTACACTAAACACAGAACTTATTCTTTTTAAAAAATATTTTTAAATTACTTTTATTGATTTTTTTAGGGAGAGGGAAGGGAAAGGGAGACAGAGAGATGCATAGTTCTCTTGCCTCCTCCCTGCCCTCTACTGGGATGGAGATGGGCATGTGCCTTGACCTGGAATGAATGCAACGACCTTTCCGTGAATGGGACAACACCCAATCAACTGAGCCATCGCTGTGAGGGCAGAGTATATTCTTGTATTATTATTTATTAATTATGGTATTTTTTCCATACCAACAAATCTAAATCTACTTTTGGTACACCCTACTTTTACCTCCTACACTTTTATAATCTTTCTGTTTTCCCCAACCCTCAATGCAGTCATTGATTTTCCTTCCTTTACAGTAGATTAGTTCATATTTTTCATAATTTTATAGGCACTGTAAGGTATGTTCTTTAACAAATACTGGTTTTCTTCATGCTACACAGTTATTTTGAGATTCAACACTTATGCTTATATGAATATTTAATTTATTATTGGTGAGTAGTATTGTGTTCTCTGGATAATGACTTTATTTATTGCTTTGTCTATGACTGTGGTTATTTCCAGGTTTGTGGTATCATAAATCTGGCATGAATATTTGTGTTCAGTTTTCTCTATATATGTATCTGTTTTACTTATCAAACTGTTGTTGTGTAGGTGAATGTTTTACACTTTAAGATGTGACCCAAATAGTCATTGGTTTTGCCTTCCCACAAACCCACAGTATTTAAAAAAATCCATTTTTTTTGCAACCCTGCCAGCACATGTAATTGTTAATCTTTTTAATGAGTACCTTGAAAATGAGTATAGTGTTAACTCGCTTTTGTTTTAATTCTATTTACCTAAGAATTTTTGATGGTGAACATTTTTTCATACATTTATTTACACTGTCTTTATCTCTTTTGTTAAAATGTCTTCTCAGAATCTTTTGCCAATTTTTAAAATGAATTTATTAGTTTACTGAGTAGCAGGACAGTGCAGCATTTAAGACGTATGTTTGAATTTCATTCACTCCTCAATGACTCCATGCCAGAGACCACTGCATAGCTGCATTAGCATGAAAGTGCAAAAGAGACAGTGGAAGGCAGATGGACCTCGATCTCAGCAGGGCTGAATCAGCATAGAGTGCTCTGCTGTGATTGCGATGGCTCAAGGCGATTTCCTGACCTGATCATCTTTACACTGTTAACTAAACTTTACTGAGCTTTACTGACCTTTGATTCTATCTGCTCTGCCTGCATGCATTGTTAAAGGGCAAATGTGTAACCAAACTGAATAAAAGAGGCAGGACCCAGACTCGTGTGTTCCTCTTCTTGCAAGAGGCTCCACCTGGCCTCCCGTGCCTTAAAAATTCGTATTTCTTGTGTAGTATCTTCATTGTGCATCGGTCCTCCTACAGGTCATGCTGAAATTCACCGTGCAGGTTGCGGCAACTCTCTGACTTCTTTGCCATATGGAACCAAGGTTTTGAATACCGGAAGGAACATTGTTTTTCTCAATTTTTATCCTGTGTTCAATTTAAGCCAATTTGTACTGCATATTTAAACACTTAATCTACATTGTTTACATTCTCCAGCACTATTTTTTAAGTCTACACATTCAATAATACATTAAGTGATGTCTAGGTTTGTAATATTTTTGATATCCCTGGTGTAAACATGCTCATCATCAGGGGGTTCAAACTTCCTAAAAGATGGCAATGATTCCCAAACTTCCTAAATCATGGCAATGATCATGTCCTTGTTCATTGCCATCATTTAGGAAGTTTGAACCCCCTGGATGTGATGAGACATCTCAGTAGTCCATCATTTCCAACATTTGGATAATTTCCAACATACTGATACAGTGGCGACAAATTTGCTCAAGAACATTCTTAATAAAACAGTAAAATAATGAGAAGTGATAAGTTTTAAACATTTTTTCAAAGTTTA